CATGCACCTGATTGCAAAAACCCTCTAAATAAAAAAAAAAAAAAACCTCAACCAAGTGTTTTATTCTCAACTACTGAGCTTTAAAAGACTTCTAAGGTAGGAGCCACTGATACCACTTCAACTTTTTCCAGAAATGGATTTTCTAATTATCATTTATTTCAAATTTGCCTTCAAAGTAATGAAATTTGGATGCTCAAAATCATCTTCCAAGTTAGTCTACCTACTGAAAACCCTATGTACCCTTCTGACAAGAACTCCAGAGACTCAAAGCCCCCACAATCAGCTTGAGTCCAACTGAAGCATCTGATCGGGAACTGCTTCACCTTCTTGGCAGTATTTTCTACCTTTGTCTTTATTTATTTATTTTTTTAAGAGAGAGATTTTTGCTATAGGACACATGGTTCACTGGACAGACAGAGACAGAGAGACAGTGAGAAATCACTTCTCAAGGAGAATGGCCACACTGCAATCTCTTCTCCTCCAGTCTCCTCTCGGGACTTTGGGTATGCATGCACACGTGCCCAGCATGAATTTTAAGCTGCCAGGTCTGGGACTCTAAGTGCAGTCGAATATGTGGGAGTCCAGCAATGTGGGAGTTCATTATGCCATCTGCTGGTCCCCATCTTTGCCTTTAGACAATTTCCCATGACCTTCTTGCACTTAGCATGTTCCCTTTACATTTCTTCTTCAAACTTGTTCTTAGGTGTTAATTGCTCATGTCCCCAGTAAAGTACCTAGCATCCTTACATGTAATCAACACAGCTCCCACTGTGCTGTCTTTCCTATACATTCCCCACATTTTATCAGGATACTCACTGTGATCTTGAACCACTTCTCTCTGTCTTTATCCTGTGTGTTCTCCATTTCTCTCTCTGGACGAATTCTCTCTTGGTATCCATTATTCCACTTCACACTCCTATTGTTGGGTTGGAAGGTAGATGGGTTACTTTAGAAAAATTGTAGAAGGAGGTGTCCACAAACATATAGAAATGCATTGAAATGTTAGAACTTCTATATACTCTCAATTCACTGATAACCAAGTCTACTTATTAGATTGCTCAATCATTATTCCACTTTTACCAATGTTCACTTTTTCAGTGAGAGAAGAAAAAGATGAACAAAGTGAATGAAAATGTCACACAGTTCCAGGGATTTTTACATGCAAAGCAGGCCACCTGGTCACTTACTGTCTTACTCAAGGGTCCTCATGGACATCCCTCATTGCCATATTTCCATCATCCTCCTGAAGGTGGGAAGGAAGAAGCTCACACTCATCATTTTCACAAATAAGGTCCTTAAAAAAAAATCCCTCAAAAAAACCCCGCCTTTCTTTCTTGAGGAGAGCTACCACAGTTATTGTATTCTGAAATTGGGAACAAAAATATAAGTTTCAAGAGACATCAGTGACATCCTGTCTTAATGGAACATTATGCGAACGTCAGAAAGCAAACTTTTGTACCTATCCAGACATGAGAGATTTATGTCAGAAGATGACATAATTAGGGAAAAAAATCTTAAAGGAGAGCATAACTATGTGAAGGTTTATAAAGAACAGAAGCGTTTGTGTTGATGGGTTAGAGTGGACGTCAGTCATACACCAGGCAGGCATCCAAATCTTGCCTTTTCTAAGTCTTTATAATCCAAAAACCTCAAAAACATGATATTCAACCTTTCTCACATGTTCCAAATTCAATCAACCTCCAAATTTAATAACAATCTGTAAGCTTTCCTAACATTAGCTTTAACGGAAGTTGTGTTGATTGCATGTACATGGGACTGATGCAACAACCTCCTAAACTGTCTCCCTGTCTTGTCTTACCCTCAAGGATATCTGGTTTGAAATACATAGAGTGAGCTTGCTCTTTGCTCAGCCTAAAATGCCTTTCAGTCCAGGAGACAACTCTTTTAACTTCTGTTCTATAACAAGAATCTGAACAGTGAACTGAAATGGTAAGTGTTAACTACAATTTCCAAGTATTTGGACATTTTTCTATGGTCAGAGAACATGCTGTGTGACTTCAGAGCTTTTCAATTTGTTGAGGTTTGTTTAGTAGCCCAAAATATGGTCTATATTCATGAATGATATAAGACATTTGGAAAGAAAGAAGTGTATTCTGGTACTCTGCTGTTGTTGGGTGAAGTATTCAATATATGTCATGTATATTGTGCTATTGAATTGATTATTTTATTCAGATCTTCCATATCCTTGTAGATTTTTCTGTCTAGTAATTCTATCAATCACTGAGAATGGGTTGCTCAAGGTCCCAGCTATAATTGTGTTCTTGGCTGTTTCTCCTTTGAGCTCCATAAGTTTTTGCTTCATGTAATTTGAGGCTTTGTTTTTTGGATGTGTATACACTTAGGATCATTATGTGTTCCTGGGTGCACTGATTTTTTTTATCATTATGTAATGCCCTCTTTATCTATACTAATGTTCTTTGCTCTAATATCTACTTCATCAGATATTATGGCCTCAGTTAGTTATAAAGAGTTTTAGTGTTTTGGTTATATTTTACACATTATACACCCCTAGGAATTTCCTTATTTGTCCTCCACACTCCCACTGACATATTTAGTTCACCAAACAGCAAGATTTGGAGGTTTAATTTACATCTACAGAAATAAGATAGTACTCATTCTTTCTCCCATAGGTATAGTCACTGGTTATTTTATTTTTATCACTTTCAACTGAAACATTGATGGCAATACTAGTGGATTTTGGAGATGGAGAGTAAGGCAGACTATGTGAAGATAGCTTCCTTTTGGGGTGTAAATGTAAGGTTCTGTAGGTCTGTATTGTGCACCTATTTTACATTAATTATTCCATGTTGTATGAGGACAAAGTTATGCATAACAATTCATTCACTCCTGATCACTTTACAATGTACTGATTATGTGCTGGTTCTCAGATAAACTCTCCTGGGGTGTCAGTGCAACCCAGGGCCAGGAAGGTCCTGTACTCGCAATCTTTGGGACTCCCCTTAAATGACAATGGAAGTAAAATTAAATATGGGCAGGACTTTTGATGTGGAAATCCCACATTCTCAATATCTAAAACTTAGAGACAGGTTGGAGTCTTCTGTTTATCTCATTCCACATCTAACTGACCAGGAAATTCTCTTGACTATACCTTCAAAATACACTCAATCTAGTCGCTTTACACTTTCTCCATTACTACCACCCTGGCCAACACCAACATCTATCTATTTATTACATTATATTGCTTTTCACTCTCCCCTCTATTCCTATACTTGCTTCCTTTACATCTACTATATTTGCAATACAGCAGGCAGAGATTTTTAAAAGCATAAGTCAAATTTTGTCATAACTGCTCAAAATCCTATAACGAGGGTTTGAAGCTCATCAATAGGTTGAAAAGCAATTTGTTCATAATGATATTCAAAAACAACACCAAAAAAAGGACCAGATTGGTAACATTTGGGGCATACCAGAAAACCAGCTTTTTATTAACATTTGTAAAGTAAAGGCAAGAATCAAGTATTCTACCTTTCCTGTGCAGGTTGTATATAAAGATAGCCAAACTGTTAATGAGAGTTTCTCTTTATAAGAATATTCCAACTAATACTTAAAGAAGGTAAGATAGAATTTCACTATCATCATTTAAAAATTCTTAATAAAGTAAAAGAGCTATAAAATAGTCATCAATGGCTGGTAAAAATCATAAAAGAGAAACAACTAGATCATTTTCCTTGTTATAGACACTTGTTATAGATACTTGTTAAGCTACGTGTTACTACAAAACAGGCAAAAGCTTAAAAAGATCAAAAGTTTATAAAGTAAAAAAATGTGGTAAGCCTAGATTAATTTGCTATTGGACAAAGAAAATTCTTCTTTAAAAATTGAGTGTAGCCTGGGGCCAGCAGGTGGCATAGTGGTTAAGGTGCTGGACTCCTACATGACTGATAGTGGTTCAAGCCCTGGACCTGGGGGCTTGCTTTTCAACACTCCCTCTCTCTGTCTCTCAAATTGAATAATAACAAAAAATAAATGAAATAAAATAAGTAATTATTAAAAGAAAAGCGTTCTTGGGACCAGCAGTTAGCATAATGGTTATGTAGCTGAACTCCCATGTAGCCGACCACGGTTTGAGTCCCGGACCTGGTGGCTTAAACTCACGCCAGGCACATGTGTGTGCGTGCCCAAGATCCTGAGAGGAGAATGGAGGAGAAGGGACCGCGGCATGGCCATCCCAGGGGGTGATTTCTCGCTTTCTATCTCTCTCTCTGTCTTTCTGACACGCTCTATAGCAAAAACCTTTCAAAAAAGAAAAAAGAAAAAAAAAGAGTTCTTAAAAATAAAAATAAATAAATTGAGTATAGTCTAAGTGTGCAGTGTTGATAAAGTTTACTGTAGTACACAGCAATGTCTTAGGCCTTTGCTCAGTTTATAGAATTCACTCACTCATTCACCCAGAGCAGCTTTCACTCCTACAAGCTCCATTCATGGTAAGTGCCCTATACAAGTATATCCTTGTTTGGTCTATTATACCATATTTTTACTGCACCTTTTCTGTAATTTGATATGTTTACATATACAAATACTTATTGTGTTATAATTGCCTGAGGTATTCAGTACAGTAACATGATATACAGGTTTGTAGCCTAGGAGCAGCAATAGGCTATCTACCATATAACAGAGGTATGTAGTAGGCTATCTCATCTAAGTTTCTCTAAGTACGTTCTATAATGTTTATACAATGACAAAATTGTCTAATGATGCATTTCTCAGAATATATCTCCACTGTTAGGAGGATAGTGGGGGGAAAAGGAGATCCAGAATCTATTGTTCAGAATGTGGTTGAAATATCAGAAAGTGGCTGAAAATTGGGACAGACTTAAGAGTGTCATAAACAAGATAGAAACAATCGTGAATAGGAATATAAGATTAGGATGAGAAACATCAATACAATAAAAAGAAAAATATCTAAAGTACTAAAGCCATGCCTACCACACATATCCATCTTGGAAATGTTACGAAAAACGTACTACATGTGTTTTCCTGTTCCTGTTACATTACCTTCTGAACATTAGAGACAGGACACAGTGAACTAGATAACAATAAGGATAATAAGGATTATATT